GAAGATGGGGTGCGCAAAGTTCACTTGGTATGTTTAGATAATTTAACTGTATAGTTATGACTTATCCGTAAAAGTGGCAATATATGGGGGAATCTGTTCAAAGTGAATGTTTAGACCCCCAACACAGCTGTCAGGCTCTCCCATTATACAGCTCTTGTACGCAATCTTTACATTACTGCTTCATAGGCAATTCTGGATCATCTCTGTTCATATCTGCTTTATTAGCAAAAACGATTAGAACATCAGGTGAACTTTGTAAGCATTCAGATTCTTGCTCCATGCACATGGAGCCGCTGTTTAGATCACGCAACAATCTCAATTTGTCTGTGGCCACCTTTAATTCTGGTTTTGATGGACAATATTACCTACCTAGCTACTGAGCTAGCTGGAGCTTGGTGGAAATTAAGTATGAAGGTGACCCTGGCCGGTTATTGTCACCAAAATTGTTAACAGCCAACAACAAACAACTTTGGAAGGAAAACAGTTTGTTCTCAAAGCTTTCATTGTCAAGAATCCTTCCTAAAAATAAGTACCAGAATAAGTTTAATGTACCTATCAATGCAATTTTTTTTACCTTAGTCTATGCAATAAAGAATTATAAAGCCCTGCACCTTATGTTCCAAACAGAAAGAGTGATTTTCTTGTTTTTTTAAATATTGCCTTACCAGTTACCATTTTTGCTGGAGGATAAGGTCAGGTTATCAAAATTTCCTAAGTAAACAGTGGCAATTTTTGTGTGCATAGATTACGCCAAGGGTGCAGTGCCAAGTTATCAATATTTCTGCTGTAATGATCCATTGTAGCGGATTGTTGATAATATATTGTTACACTCATAATTAATGCCACTCTTGAAACATTCTGACAGTGCGCATACATCATCAGTGACTATGGTTTGTGTATTCTAGAGTATTCAGTTACTCTTTGGTAAGAACATTCAGGTGAAAGCAGAACTCCAGACAAAAACAAACATACACATTGCATCTCTCATTATATAGCTATATGTATGTGTAATATATATATCTAGATCTAGATATATCTATATATATATAT